AAAAAAAAAAAAATACATCAAGGTAGAGGATTATGTGGCTCTGTGAGAGTAGTTTCATGTTGACTGCAAATGCTGGTTTAGGATATTGACTCCAAATCTCTGATGTTAGGAGGCTGAGGGCTTGATGTTCCAAGTTGGTCACTGCACATCTGTTTCATAGTGGAGAGGACTGGATTTGGTAGTTTTTAAGAGTGTTGACAAGTCCCAATTACTTTTTTAAATTATTTTTTTTTTGGTGGCTGGCAGAAGGGGATCCGAACACCTTGACCTTCGTGTCGTAGCCTTGCCCTTCATGTTGTAACATGGTGCTCTAACCAACTGAGCTAACCAGCCAGGCCTTCTTACTTTGGATGAGGGATCTCTATTTAATTTTTGGATTATAACTAGGAAGGCAGAGAATTGAGAAGAATGGCCATGACAAAATTTCCATTCCTATAAATTTTCTAAATTTTTTTTCAGAGCATATTTTATATTAAGAAAATGAAGGAATGGAAATAATTCTGTACACTGCTCGCACTGCAAGCACACTGATTCTGTACAAGCCCATGGGTGTGTGAACTACGGAGGCAGGCGAAAAAAAGATGGGAGGGATGGAAAGAGGGAGGAAGGAAGGTGCCACTATCCATCCACCTTATTAAAAAAGGTCAGTTTTACTAAAATTTTTTGTTTGATAATTAGGTTTCAATCATGATAAAGTGTGTACTATCCAGTTGCTTTTTTAAAACACTGAGACTGTTAGATGTTTAAATTTCATATTTTTTTTTTTGTAGAGAAGGGTGATAGATACAACAGTATTAAACATACAAAATATATTACATAAGATAAAATTCTGGGGCAGCAAAAGAATGAAAATATGAGTTCAAGGAGATAAAAAGAATCATGTAAATATCTATTAAACAATGATCATAAATTTTATCATTTGATTACGCCAGCAAATTGACTTTCCAATAAGTACCTTTAAAAGACTGATGATGTGACAATTGTCTTTTAAAACCTCCTACTTGGGATATGTATCTTTGCAGTTATTTGAAGTTATTGATTAAAATATTTTACATGTCAATCTTAAAACATGTGAAGGTTTCAAAAACTCTTACAGTGGACCCACGCAGGGAGAAGAAAAAAAAAGGGCTCAGGAGGACTGACGCAGTCATTGTGGTGGTGACGTTTCCTCCCCGAGCCCCGCCCGCCCCAGCCTGGGCCTGCAACCGGCTCCCTTTGCACAGATGATTGGAGGGGAGGGGAAATAACTCTCTCTTATTGAAATTGATCGAATTTTTAAATTCTTGCCGGAGGCGACACAAACTCTCCACACTCCTATTCTCATAACGGTTCAAGGAAGTAATCCATTAGGAATCCCCTTTTTATAAATAAGAGCCAAGCCGATCAAAAGGTAAACGATGTCCTTTCCAGAATAAAGACTCTTCGCTGTCCTGAACCAGAATGGCACTCTCCAAATAAATGCCATAAATTCGGGGAAGAAAAGGGTTATTGTGTCACTAACGCTTCATAGAAAAAAAAAATCAATGAGACTGAAAAGAGAAGTAGCATTTGTTCAAAAAGGGAAATTCTTTTCCTCTTAAATTGACACTCCCCCACCCACCCCCGCAGAAGGAATAAAACTACTTGCAGCTGGGTCGCTTTCGACTTCGGCCCCCGCGCAGAGTGCTGCGTTGTCACCGCGCTTGCCCTTCCGGTCGCAAATGTTTCGCCTTTGCGGGATCTTGCCAAGCAAACAGCCCCCCAGTACGTTCATCGCTTAAAGATGTCTTTTTGGTCCAGGTAGGCATGGAAAGGTCGTAAGGAAATGCTGAGCCAGACGTCACCGCCAGGACAGCGCGACAACACCTGGAACTCCACTAAACTCGTGGTTTAGTGCACCGGACCTCACTCACGAGAGGGAGTGGGACATGGGAGGGTAGGAGTGTAGGGCACAAGGTCCTACTGAGGGAGGTGACCGCGCCCCACTTGCAAGACGCACGCCACACTCAACCGTACCCGGCCCTGGACTGCGTCTACGTGAGCGGGACCCTGGAATGCGCCCTTTAGCCACGGAAGGGCTTTTGGAGCCAAAAGCTCCCCGTTTATCCCTTGGTACGTTAACGACCCCGGGCAGAGGCGAGAGTGAACACAGTGGCCCTGGCTCGGCTCCCGCCCCTACCACTTTCAGCGCAGGTTTCTGCTCACGAACAGTTGTTTTCTTCCGTTCTGCTCACACACGCGCACACACCCACTCACCCGCGCGCCACGCAGGCCGGGCCGCACCCAGCAACTAGAAAACCCTTGTGGTGCAAACAGACACAAGCGGTTACGCAACCCCGAACCGTGTTGGAAACCCTTTCTCGATGGTGTGGGTGGCTCTGAAAAGAGCCTTTGGGGTCGGGGCGTTGGGGTCGCCTCACTTGGAGCTGGTGTACTTGGTGACGGCCTTCGTGCCTTCGGACACGGCGTGCTTGGCCAGCTCCCCGGGCAGCAGCAGGCGCACGGCCGTCTGCACCTCCCGAGACGTGATGGTCGAGCGCTTGTTGTAGTGCGCCAGGCGGGAGGCCTCGCTGGCGATGCGCTCGAAGATGTCGTTGACGAAGGAGTTCATGATGCCCATGGCCTTGGACGAGATACCGGTGTCTGGGTGCACCTGCTTCAGCACCTTATACACGTAGATGGAGTAGCTCTCCTTGCGGCTGCGCTTGCGCTTCTTCCCGTCCTTCTTCTGAACCTTCGTAACGGCCTTTTTGGAGCCCTTCTTGGGAGCAGGAGCTGATTTGGACGGATCAGGCATGACTGCGCACGTCTCCGAACAAAACATAGCTGCGCCCCGAGCAACCCTATTTGTACGTCTTGTATTCAAATGAAGGATCAGGAATTGCTCACTTCTGATTGGATTAAATGTTGCGTGCGTCATTTCTGGGAAAGGCATACGCAAATTAGGAGACACGGGCTTCCTTTTCTGATTGGCTAGCGCTGCTGTCCAATCGGGAGCCGCCGTCCAGCCTACCTCCGGACCATATATAAGGGCTCGCTGGGCCTCGCCGCCTTGTTACTTCCTGCCCCAGTGCTCGGTGTTCTGTTCGTCAGCGTTTGAGTCCAAGATGTCCGGCCGGGGGAAGCAGGGCGGCAAGGCGCGCGCCAAAGCCAAGTCGCGCTCTTCTCGGGCGGGGTTGCAGTTCCCTGTGGGCCGCGTGCACCGGCTGCTGAGAAAGGGCAACTACTCGGAGCGCGTGGGCGCCGGCGCGCCCGTCTACCTGGCTGCCGTGCTCG